TGAAGCAGGTCTTCTCCACCCCCTCAACATAACACAGCTCACCTTGTGTAATGTATGATGCAGGTGACTAACATTGGAAATAAAAGTAATTTAATGCCGTTAAAGAAGAAGAAGGCGGTTAAGTTCAATTCTGATCCGAATCTTACTCTATCATATCATCATCCTGGTGATAAATTCTCCCATAAACCTACTTTCCCCCATCCCCTAAAAAAAACAAAAGAACAATGAGCCGTTCTTTTGAAGGGCTCTTGGAAAAGATCGGAGCCTTAAGATCCAGCTCAGTTTTTTTGTAAAATATCATGATGTTACAGTGAAATTGACTTTTGACCCGTTGGATAGAAAATGTCATCAGTTCATCATATTATCTTCAGTAGATATTTGTGTTAAATGTTCTCATTGTTAGCGTGTGAACTCTGTTATGTGAGGTCACAATGACCTTAATGTTTTACCTTTTCCCATCGCCAACTGCTCAACTTGATCTTTGACCCAACAGTCTAGTCTCCCCAGTATTAAATAATGGATAGAAAAGGGGTTTTGTTTGTTTGTTTAATATTATGATGTTACAGTGAAGCTGACCTTTGACCTGTGGGACAGAAAACATTTTATCTACTTTATTGTTAAAGGGGCCGAACATTTTTGTTAGGGGCTGGTTCTGGCTCATGGGTGGCTATTTAAATACCACTGCTAAACAAATACCCTAAAATAATTACACACACACACACACACACACACACACACACAAACACACACACACACACACACACACACACACACACGCACACACACGTCTGTGTGCTGTTGCCAACCAGTCAAGTTGAATTAAGTCTCCCCTCCTGTTAGTGTAGAATATTGTTATATATATATAATGTTATACGAAGACGACCTTTGACGCGTTGGTTTGAAAATGTCATCAGAATTCTTGAATTATATGAGGTCACAGTGACCATGTTTTAAGTTTTACCTCCAAAATCTAACCAGTTCTTTCTTGAGTCCAGCTTGTACAACTTTTAAAGAAATCCCCTAATGGTGAGAGAGATACTGCATTTACATGAGCAGGAGGGACCACCAGGAGGCAGGGCTGTTGATATGGAAACAGACTTACCGTCCAAAGAGATCTGCAGCACCTCCACAGGAACCCTGAGCTCTGAGGAGAGGTGACACTTCAGCTCCTGAATGCTGAGACCGATGGCGAACGCCACCGTCATCACATGACCCTCTGGCACCAGCACCACCTTCACTGCAATCGCATACAGAGACATACGTCACCGTCTGTGGGTTTACCTCTGAAAGCTGCCAATGTCTTTGGGGTTTGGATTTTAATTAAATTAGTTTCATGAAATTAGTCCAAGGAAACCAAACTTTTTATTTCTTATAAAGTGATTTTACTGGTGTCATTGTGAAGGTTTTATTCAGTCCACTTCCTTCATTATTCATTCAGCTCTTTAATTCTATATAATAGACAATGAGGGACTTTTTCCATTTAAATCTCCAGTAACCAGCTACTTGTTCGAGCTTTTACAAGATACTGATTGCTATGCTGTATGAACCCTTCGTCAGTTTACATGGAAACACCACACGTCTGAGGTACCTCACTGCCGTCACTTCATCCACAGATACATTATTCATCAGTCCCAGATTACATTTGCATGATCTGCATTTTGCATTCATGGCATGTTTACATCAGTACTATATGAGTTAACATAAAATTGAGATGAACATTAGCAATCTGTGACAAATGGATTGGGGAATGTGTCGTCTGTCAACAGATCTCTTCAACTGAGCCAAAATCTAATATTGTAGGTTTTATCTTTACAATGGATATACTATCACACAGAAATCAACAGGATTTCATTTGGGAGATGAAATGAGGCAGCATCAGGACCAGTGTGATGATGAAAGTTCAACAGTCTTTCTTTTTCTTTTTTTCTTGGATCTGTTTTATACATAACTACTTGTTATTGTAACTATCTAAATCACATTTTGTCTCATTTTCCTTTTCTATTATTTATTTTTTTCAAATTCCATTATGTAGAACCTCATTACTTGTTACCTTAGTAACAACTGCATTTTGCCATGTTATTAAACTTTATTTAAGATTTTGACATGGGACATTTTCAGCATTTTTGTTCATTTCTCAAAGAATAATTGATGGATCTTGATGAGAAAATGTTTCATGGAATGATATTTATGAGTGCGTGAGATTGGAATTTATGATTTTAAATGTGGTTTCATATAAGGACACTGTCGGACCTAGGTGGAGGTATGTTGTCTACTGAGTGACATTCTAGTTTATTCATGTTTTAGTCATTGCATGATTACATTTGCACATTGTGAAACACATTGAAACACTGGTTCAAAACACCTATTTACTAAGCTGTAAACGCACTGTTGTCTTGTGTTCATGTAACTTGAAACAAGGTAAACAATGGACTTTTGACTTTATACTCAGTTTCAGACCTGTTGGTTTTGTGTGAGAGTCATCCTGCGTCAGGCGGATGTACTGGAGACAACCAGACTCAGGGTGACACTCTAGTTACTTGATGGAATGTGCAGAACAAGTTAACTTAATTGGGTCAGTAATCAGCACCAAGCACATTAGATAGAAGATATTAAAAAAGGATACACTGACAATAAAACATTTTTGGAAGTATTTTTTGTATCATACACATTTATCCATAATGTAGGTTCTGAATTGTTTGACATTGTTTTATATAGTTTTCCTTTTGGTGCTGAATAATATCAGATTGAGGAAGTTCACATCCTCCATCATAAAGTAAACCAGCTGTCAGTGTGGAGTTTGCCACATGTCCTGCTCTCTGAGCTCCCTGAGTGTGTGCAGTGTGTAGTGGTGGGATCAGGACAGTTGTATTAATATCTAAACAAGATGGATTCGTATGATGATGACCGGTGCACTGACACATGTTTTCACCAAAGTTTGCACATGAGGATCGAACACGGAACAGTGTGCGCTCACCTGTGGCCCAGCTGTCAGCCTCTCCTCCGCCACTCCCCGGGTCTCTGTCGCCCCCTGGCGGCTCCTCTGCAGCTCTTCCACCTGGTAGTGTGCTGGTTTCCGTGATGTGTCCCTCTCTGTCTTCGTCTGCTCTCTGCTCGGACATGGCTCAGTGCTAACGGAGCACTTGTTAGCTTCCTCACGACGCTGACATTGAACAGAGGAGCTTTAAATCACCGGAGCAGTGAGTGACGGTGGACACGGTGAGAAGCTGCTCCTCTGTCCGTCACACTGAGCGTCTCCTGTGGCCCTGGGCTGCTTTTATCTGCTTCAATGAACGTGACTGTGACTTTTAGCATCGAGCAGCTAACACTGTCCCCTAGCCCTTACCTTGGTTTCCTGGCGACGGCCATAGTTTACACGTCTCCATAGCAACCGCCACTCCCCCCTGTTAGTGATCAGGGGCGGAGCACAAACATTTGTGGTCTATACACATTCTGTAAGATTGATAATAATTTGTTCATTCAACAAGGGAGGATAAAGTTACTGACACAAATAAGACACAACATGGAGAAACATCCTTTGAGTTGAAACACAGTTTTAAGAAGTGACTTATTCTACTCAAGTCTTCCACTGTGTCCACATGCAGGGACGCTCTGACATCAGACTTAATCCTCTTCTGTGCTGAGAGTCCTGTCCTGTAGCATTCTGAAAGTCTCTTTAGCACTTTTACTTTTGTTACTCAGTAGATGCTGATTAAGGCTGGGGATCACCACTGATGCCCCAAATCGATCACAAGGTCTCGATTCGATTGGATTTCCAATTCAATATCGATTAGGGATATTTCAGTGTACAATACCAATTTTGTATATTGTATTTTGTCATCTGCCTCGGCCAGTTGGGGTGAGCAGAGAAAAATGGAGAGGAGAGGGGAGATGGGTGGAAAAGAAGGGGGGGAGAGAAGTGAGAGAGACCGGGAACACTTGAGCACCATCAGGTATCAGCTCTGACTAGTTCTCATGAAAAAAATAACAGTGCAAAGAAATGATTGATAATTAATGATAGCAGCAACAATTCATATAATTATGAATTACTCAAGTATTGTTTTTAATAATAATACTAATTATAGTTGTTGTCCTGCAGTTCTTCAGTCAGAGATATCTGCAATGAGAGAGAGAAAGAGAGAGGGGGACTATGGGAGAAAAAAAGAAACATATTGACATGTATTAAAATAAATAAATGAGTGTGGGGGGGCAGAGAGACAGAGAGAAGTGGAGAGGTGCTCAGTGCATGATGGGAGTTCCCCCAGCAGTCTAGACCTATAGCAGCATAACTAAGTGATGGTTCAGGACTCACCTGATCCAGAACTAACTATAGGCTTTAACAAAAAGGTTTTAACTTTAACTTTAAATGCAGAGATAGTGTCTGCCCTCTGAACCCAGAGTGGGAGCTGGTTCCACAGGAGAGGAGCCTGGTAGCTGAATGCTCTACCTCCTGTTCTACTCTTACTGACTCTTGGGACCACAAGAGAACGAAGTGGTCCTTGATACATGAAGGGGCTTGATAGTTAAGGGCTTTAAATGTGAGGAGCAGGATCTCCAATGTAGAGAAGAAGACAGGAGTAACATGATCTCTCCTTTTAGTTCCTGTCAGCACTCGTGCTGCTGCATTTTGCACCAAGTGGAGACTTTTCACAGACTTCCTGGGACATCCTGATAATATAGAGTTACAGTCACCCAGTGTAGAGGTAACAAATGTCTCCTTTCATAGAGAGTAAGCATACCCACATTTTTGAAGTGAAATAATGCATATTTAGTGGACAGGAGAGAACGAATAGGATCACATGTACAAAATTAAAGTGTGTGAGTTAATGCATCACAGTTGGTACTTCTGATATCCAGTGTAACTGCCTCATATTATCAGTTAGTTTCGATTTGTTTAGCCTTACGTTTTTTTCCCTACCTGTAATGCAGTATTCCTAGAGGCGGAACTGAGTACTGCATACCTTGTTTCCCGCAAGGCACAATTAAGCGACGCACCCTGCAAGAACGGCATGAAAAAAGCAATAGAACAGACGAACTTTCTAAATAAGTTTAAATATATAAGAAATAAGCACATAAATAATGAAAGAAGACAAAGATAAGGAAGAAACAAGGAAGATTCAGCCCCTCTCTAGTAGTCAGCAGCCTACGAGGTATGTTTGGTTCTAATTCATTTTATATGAAGTGTGATAGTTATATTAGCATAATGCTATAGCTACGTTTTTTCTGTGACATGTGCGTATGATCTCATGTTATATACCACATTTTGTAAACCTGTGTATACGTGTATATGTGCATTTTGTTATTGTATCCTTTATTAATGAATGTTTCTCTTGAAACCCAGTTCTCACGGGCTGATCCTGGAATAAACCCTGTTTTTAACCATGACCTCGGGCCTCGTGTCTACTACTTGGGGGAGCTACATCCAGTGAGCGACACAAATAATATGTCATATGAAAGCTGAGCTTCTGCACAAATCTGTTCACAAGTCACATCTCGCCTTTGCTGTTTACTCCACTCGTATTTTCTTCTACTTTGGGGTTTAACCATAGACTGTTTATAAAGAGTTTAAAGGGTAGTTCGCCTCCATGGTGTTGCATTACTGCCCCCTCCTGGACTTATTTAACTCCTACAGTGTCAGGATGTCAGATTTCAGGGTTGAGGGATAAAGGGGCGAGTCAATAAGAGGAGAATAAGCTGATGTTAATAATGATGATAGAGACAGCTGTTTAACAGACTGAGTTCACACTTAAGACCAGTGTGTTAAAGATCAGCTGGTGCAACCAGCCCTCACTAATCCCATGTTTTATTGTTTCATGTTTTATTTTTCAGGCCCTTCGTGGAGGCCAAATGACTTCTCTGAAGCTGTTATCACTGAAGCAAAGTTCCTTAATGCTGGTGCTGCTTCTGCAGTGTCAGGGAGATCTGCTGGCACCAAATGGAAAAGGCAGGTCGAGCAAGGCAAAGGGCCTGTGGACAAGAAAGCTCGTGGAGAGGTGACTGTTCTCCCTCCTGAAGAGCTCAAGAGGATCTACCTGTCAAGAAACAGGCTGGAGCAATGGTGCCACACCCCCTTCTTTGCCACCACTGTGACTGGCTGCTAAGTCAGGGTAGCTATTAATGACAGCAGCAGTGACCCACTGCACTGTGTTGCTGAAATTGTGTCTGTGGTGGAGACGGAGCAGGTCTACCAGCTTGGATCCATGCGGACAAACCTGGTATTTCAACTCAGGCACGCTCGTACTGAGCAGATCGTGACTGTCAGTTCTGCATCCAGCCAGGAATTCACAGAAACTGAGTTGATGCAGTGGAAACTGAAGATGATGGCTGCTGGGATACAAGTTCTAACTCCAGTCAAAATCACCCCGAAGGAGCAGTCCATAACAGAAGCCCTGGATCACACATTCTCTCAAAAAGTGATCGATTTTATGTGGCAAGGAAGAACAGATTCCAACAGATTCCAAGCAGCACCTCTGAATTTTGCCAAGAGGAAAATACAGATGAACAGGACAGTATAAGAATGTGCAGTCATACTGACAGGGTGAAAGAAATCCACGATGAAGTTAAACAAGGAGACAAAAGAACTTGACAGAAGACTACAGAGGTCAATCTGAAGAGCAGACCCTCTTCCATTGTCAAGTCCAGGAGAAAATCCCCTCCTCAAGCGCACACTGATGATTATCAGGGAGTAGGCCCTTTCATCAAGAGAAAGACCAGACCCTTCACGATCACAAGTCTTAAAATGAACTCCATGAAGCTGTATACGCTGAGCTCGACCTGTGGGTCCCCATCAGAGGACACCAGCTCTGTTTGAGGACTGACCACCTCCTCCTCCCTCCCCTCCATTTTCGTCCCCCCTTACCTTTTACCCATGCCCCAAAACAAATCCCTTATCCCCCACCTGTCCTTATGCATATGTAATATAATGTAAATGCTATGTAACTATATCAAAATATAAACATTATTGCTTTATCAAATGAATGACATCTGCCTGTGTGTGTCTTTGTAAATATATAGATACAGGATTCATGGCTCCTATCAGTCACTACTGTAAACAATTGTCATGTAAATCAAATGTTAATTTACAGTACTCATACTGTAATCAACTTGACAGTGTGTTACCATAATCACAAAAATCACTGAATATCAGTGCCTTGCTGTATTTTCTTATTTTCACAATAAACTGCTGGCAGCAGGGTTGCCAGGGATTTACTGTTTTCCTACTGTAACCTTAATTTACAGTTTAGTGCTGTCCAAATACTAAAACAAACTATAGTGCTGTATTTTCTTAAATTTACAATATACGAGTAGCATCAGTCTGTACAATATTGTTTTAATGGAAATTCAACATAATCTCAAATACAGAACAATGTAATTTAATGTAACAGCAGCATGGATGACAGTCGAATCCTGTAAGTTAAACTCCTCTTTACCGAAACCTCGGTTCACCATTTTAAGTTGATATTCTGTACAACGTCTACTGAATGTTTAAGGTAACTAAAGTGCAGCAACCAAAACATTCTATAGAAAAGAGGAGACTTACAAAAAAAACAAGATCAATTGAGTAACCCAACACTATGTATTAAAGGCAACACCAATTGAAAATACTGTTTTTTGTCGATAGAAACAAAGTTGTCCATTACAGTTGAAGATTTGTCAGCTAACAGAACATGACAGTTATCAATTTAATGTTCATTCAATGTGATAAAACCAATAAACCTTGAAAAACACTTGGAGAAATGATGCATCTTGACACTACAGGTATTAGTAAAACAAAAACATTAATCACACAAATATAATCCATAACCAGTGATACTAAAATACAAATTGAAAATATAAAAGATTCATATTTTTTAGTTTTTCTACTTGTTTAAATTGTGGAACATATTTGGGTGGTCCTGGTAAAAATACGAGAGCCTTTATCAGACAAGTCTCTTAAAACGATTGATTTAACAACAAGATGGCAAGATTTAAATACTGTCATAATACTATGGTTTCTGAGGTATTGTGTGTGAAACACCGACGGTGGGAGCCATGCAATTTGCTTGTATGGAAGACCAAGAAGTGACATCCATGAATACATCAAATAACTGATCCGAATGACTAACAGAGTGAAAATAAGCAGATGATACAGGATCTGCTCAGACTTACTGTTTTATACACAATAACCTCAAAAGGCTTACGTGGTCGGATCCTACAATAGTCTACCTTTATGTACATGAAGAGTAAGCATACGCACATTTTGGAAGTGAAATAATGCACATTAAGTGGACAAGAACAAGAATATAATCACATGTACAAAATTAAAGACAAAAATTGACCTGGGGGGGAAAATTACAATATCTGAGTGTGAAATGAATAAGTCCTGCTAACTTTTTGTTTAATGAACTTTCTCTTTTTCAACAGCAGTGAGTGTGTGGTACCTTGACGGTGTGTTTGAGTGTCATCAGGACGCTGCTCCTGGCTCACAGCAGGCTGGTTGACATTGTTGTACAGATCTTGCAGCTCTCTGGCTCTGATGGACTCAGAAAGACTCAGTATGAGGGTCACGACCTGGAGAATCTGTTGTCACGATTGAAAACATCACTTATGATGAGTCCCAGCCCCCGCTGCTACAGTGAGCTGGTTGAGGTTTAATTTTTACTACATTTTTCCTTAAACAATTGATACAAATAGTTCTATGACTACTTTTCTTATAAGTTAACTAGTGGTAGCATTATTAAGCAACAACTACTTCTGATACTTGTATTAATACATCTTCTTACTACTACAGCTTCTGCTACTACAGCTTCTCTCACTCCTTAACCTCTTCTATTTCTTCAACTACACCCACTGCTATTTTCTGAAATGTTATGTCGTAAAAAGTATTAATGTATATAGAAAAGTAGATTGGATCATAATTTGCATATTTGACCCAGAGGTCAGTGGCCAACCGGCTCTACCCCCTGAGCCACAGCCCCCCGATTTAATTACCTAGATATTTCATATTTTACTATTTGGATGAGACTCAAAAAGTGAAACTACAATTTGAGTGCATATCTCAATGGACATAAAAACCTCTTTGTTTTGCTGGAAAAAGTCAGGACAGGAGGAATAGGCGATGCGATGGCGTCCGATGGCTGCGATGAACTGAGTCTCCTGGTCCAGCAGCAAGCAGAGAGCTGCCTTCCTCTCAGCCCCTCGCATGGATGAATTGATCTGCTGCTCCTCCTCACACCTCCCCTCTGAAACACACACAAATATTTTTTAATAACATCACTTTCTCCCACCTCACACACAGTGCACCCTCCCCTTTTCTCCACGTACTCTCCAGGGCGTGGTACATCAGATTTAAGTCTTCCTTCCTCTACGGGTTCATCCAGCGTCGTTGGCGGTCTCTCAGCTGCTCCTCCTTCTCCTGTGTCCCCCTACTCTTCTGCACCTCCAGCCAGGCCAGCCGCCGGTCCCGCTCTTTCCTCAGCTGGTCCACCGCCTGCCGGGCCAACCACCTTGGTGCCTATCATGCAACACATACTACCGTAAAGTTGTGACCTCCACAATGAGGCAGGGCAACAAAACATCCTCTAACTCTGGCCTTATAGGATTTGTTTGTCCATTTCTACAAAAGTTTAGTCCAGAACAAAGTATGTCTAAATTCAGTGTAGTGAACACTCATGACGATGTACAGGAGGTTACTTTCCACACAATAGTCCGGCTCTCTTTTCTACATTATGCACCAGGTATTATGTATAAAACCCACAGCTCTCAGCCTCTTATCGTGGTACTCAGCAGCAGTGATGTAGTTGCCAGGGGCGACCAGCTTGTCGTTGATACAGGAGACGTAGCAGCCGATCCCTCTCATCTGGGTTGAGACACTGAGTGGACACTGCTCTGCCTGAGACTTCAGCTCCACTGTCTTAACAGAGAGACAGAAACACACAAGACAGATAAGTTGCAGGTAACCATTGTGGGTAAAAAAACATCCTAAATTCTCTTCAAGTCAAACAGTGGAAATATTGATTGAATCTTGTGGTTTGGGCCGAGGGGAGATGAACTGTCTGCTCTGAAAACAGACTTCAACATAAGCTGATGTGCTGATATGGATGAGCGTTGTAATGCAGGGAAGCAGGGCGGTGTTGAACAGCCTGAGGACAGAGTTTGGGTCAAAGGCTTCAGGCTGTTAATTAGTGTTCACTGCAGACGAGCTGCTGGGTAACATTTAGCATTTTTCACACTTGTGGCACAGATTGATGAAGCTTGAGTAACGTGAAAAAAGCAGTTTACACTCAAATATTTAATTATCCATGACCTTTTAAAGTCTCATCTCAGAAAGGAACAGTACATGTTAGATGCACCAGTCGGATTCTTTGGGTTGGGGTTAAGTGCCACTTTATAGAATTGCAAGGGCTACAGAAACAAATAGTAAATGGGAAAAACACACAGTTGAGGTGGTTGCATCTTGTTAGGATGCTTCCTGGATCCCTTGGAAGATACTGGGCACAACAAACCACGAGGAGAGCCCAGGTTAGATCCAGAACTTGCTGGAGGGACTACATATCCCATCCTACCTGGGAACACCTCAGGGTCCCCCAAGATGAGCAAGAGACCATCCTTGACCTGCTGCCTCTTCGACCCAAGCCCGAATAAGTGGAAGACAATGAATGGAAGGTCAGGAGACTTCAATAGTTGATGAAGACATTGATGCTGTGCCAAGTGATGAGAGTAAAATGTGTACAGAATGTCTCTCAGTTTGGAAACATGTAAATCAACCCCTCTGCTCAACCACATGCTACCGCCTGCTTGTTTACACAGACAGCCAGACCTCATAGTTTCATCCAAACAAACTTTAACCTGACAAACAGAAATGTGTCTGGCACTGTGGATTATTTGGATGGAACTGGCTGAAGGGGGTCAGCAGGCATCTCATTAACATTGGTTCTTCTGCCTCCCTCAAATATACCTTCAAAGATTAGTTCACTCTCCTGTAGACTTGTTGCTGTTAATGTTACCACACTATGTGTGTTGACACATGTCATCTTCATCAATCTGTTGTTGCATTGTGTGTTCTTTTGAAGTAGAGAACGAAGATCCATTGAATCGAGAATTCCTGACTTAATGATTTGAGACTGATTATTGATTAAATAATATAAATCTGATGGATAGGAGCTGGTGCCCCTTTTCACGAGTGCAAAATCATCTTAGCACTTACATTGAAAAAATCTAAATGATTGTATGGTAAGGTTTTTCTTTACAGGTTGAATTTGAAGGATCTAGTGGCATCTAGTGGTGAGGTTTTTAGCAACCACCAACATACCCCCTTCCCTCAGCCTCCTCTTGTGTGTAGGGGAACTTACAGTGGCTCACAGGCAACACAAATGCAACAGACTCTCTTTAAGCCAGTGTTTTGTTTTTTTTTTCATTCTCAGCTACTGAAGAAACGTGTTGGAGCAGCATGACGTCTGTGAAAGAGGAGCTGCTCCTGACAGAGACAAAAAGGGCTAATTTTACTGTTACCAAATAAATGACAATTCTTAAAATACATTACATGTCTGCTAATAGATCCTCCTACATCCTCCACACTGGACCTTTCTGAATCAGACTAATTATTGTAAAATGAATGCTCACAGAGAGTTGTTGCTGAGACCATCCGTCTTGTTCAAGAATCTCATTTCCACATGCTCTCGCTCTCTTTCTGTCTATAATTAGATTGTTTAATTTGCACTTGAGTATCGTGTTCTGTCTCATGCCTGAATGTTAGTGCAGTTTTGCATTTTTTAATGACTTTTAAAAACACAGCACAAACTGAGTATCACCAGCTGATGAAGGTCTGTTTGGTTTCATGTATTATTTTTCTATTTTTATTGTGTCTTTCCTTCTTTTAAAGTTTGACACTGGTGTTATTGTGAATTTTCTTTCTTTGACGCACTTTTCTTTACCTGTGTATCCCGGCTGAAGACGACCACTCCTCTGTCAGTTTTCCTCTTGGGCAGGGTCTGGATGGCAGCGTGATGGTACTCCACCCCTGTCAGTCGGTGTCTGTAGCCACCCAGGACAGCACATGGCTGAGGAGCTTTAAATCCACTGGAGCAGTGAGTGACAGAGGACACAGTGAGAAGCTGCTGCTCCTCTGCCAGTCAGACTGAGTGTCTCCTGTGACCCTGGGCTGCTTCTTGAGCCAGGTCATTTCCCAACAGGAAAGTAATCTCTTGCACTGGTAACTCAGACACCACTCCCCCATCGGGGCATATCCCACAAACACATTGGTTCTTACAAACAGTTTATACTATATGTGCACCACCGAAGCCTTTCACCAGAACAAACGTCCCCAATGGAGATGTTTCGGGCAGATTAATTGTGCCTGCCATTAGGACAGACTGGCCAGAGGTGGTGTCTCTAAGGACCTTCGGCTTTTCTCCTCCTTTTCCCTCTCCTCAGAGCTGCTGCATAATAATATGGACTGTACTGGTTCTAGTTTTCTACCATTCACAGGGACTTCCAAACCCAGATAATCAATTTCCACATTCTACCTTTATCCAATTTAACTCACCGCTCCAGCCGACCTGGAGGGATGAGCATAAGCGAGCTAATATGCTAAATAAACAAATTGGCTTCTGGTAACAGCTCACAAATGTACCATCCTACTCAACAAAGTACCGGATCAAACACACACATGCAAAAACGAATACCCTCAGATAATCCACAGAAAACCCCCGGAGGAGCCCCCATTGGTTAAGAACGGAACAGACTCGCTATGCTAAATAATATCAATATCAAAACCACACACCGAAACTGCAAAATACCTCATATATCCTGCAAAATGAAGCACTGCAACCAAAACTACATATAGCATTATCAAAATCAAACTTTTGCACCGAATGGCACATACTTCATTCATATAACCAGATTTTTGTCGAACCAAGTACACACTGTTGGTGTAATGAAAAGCACTCTCATCTTTAGTATGCTTTGCCATGATACTAATATAGTTCAAATTGTAGAAAATTCTTCAGATTGTTCACATGAACAGAAATATTTGCAGATACACACACATGCTGTTGAAACATTATTATTTTTATTTTTCACTAAACAAGTCAGTGCAACATATGCACAGCAGATATATTTACATTGGAGTGAACAAAAAACAGTAAACTGAAAAAGAAAATGTGCAGAAAAAAGAGGCAAGAAAACTAAAGGTGCTCACCTGTGGTCTTTTCATCTGCTTACTTCCTGATAGAAGTGGTAACCATTAACCATTGAGGTGTTCGGCCAGGTGGCACATATATTGACCAGTTATCTCATGTAGTGTCATTTTGAATGGCAGTGTTTTGAAATGGCAAGCATGTGACTTTATGTCAGATTGTTGTGTCTCATGCAGAGAACCGTGTTCAGTGCATTTACAAAGTGACATTTTCAATTGCAAAATGTGTGTAAAGCAGAAAAGACTTGAAGACCTGAGAAGAGGTTTTGCTCTCTGTGTGCCCGTTTAAATAATTGTGCTCTGCACGTCATTTTAGTGTTTTAGCAATTGTTAAAAAACTGTAAGATGAACTTCCTGACGTCTTCTACTCGCGGGCTCGTGAACCACGACGTGATCTGCGTCCCCTGCTGCCACGCCAGGCCCCGAGCTCGGCCAGCTCAGACGCTGTCGTGTCGTTGTGGTTTGTTTGTGAGGGGGAAGTGTCCGTGAAGAGGTCTTGCTCTGATCAGGAAGAGTAAAGTCTTGGACGGAGGTTGGTGGCATGTGATACCGTCTGCTGCAGCCACGCTCCGTGGTGTCTCTGCCTCAATCCTCCTCCTTTGGGTCCTCCTCTTTTTAGTTCCCCCCAGGTGTGTCAGGTTGGAAATAAAAGGGAGGTTGTAATAGATATTTTTAGATCTAATTGTTTGACCTGAATACTCAGTGAATCAGCATCAAGCTCAAAGAGTTTGTACATTTAGGAAAGAGATCAATGTCCACCTTCTCCACCATGCAGTTGTTTATTTCCTCACCAGGGAATTAAATGCAAATTCCCACCACAGAGATTACCCCGCCCCCCTGTGTGGACCATCAGTCTTTCCCTATTGCCTCTCTACCTCCTCCATGTCCCCTTTAATTCACACACTCCTAAATATCAGTTTTAAATGTGACTGACTTTTTTCATCTAGATCCATGAATTTATTCTCTGTTATTCTACTTTACAATGTTGAAGAATTTTAAAAGACAAACTCCGAGATCGGCACCAAATTGTAACAGGTTCTTCCCTGATCAGTAACACATTCTTCTATTAAGTCTCATGGTAAGCCCTGCAGTTGTTTTTGTGTAATCTTGCTTACAAACAAACAAACACAAAGGTGGAGGTAATAATATAACTGGAAACAGACAGTTTACAGTTATATTCGTGAAATGAAATCAGTTGGACTCCTGTATTCAATGTTATTTCTGGATGTTTGTAAATGTGAAAAAATAATTGTGAAATTAATCAAAGTTTTAATTTCCTGTTGCACTTCGCAACAAATGAAAATGACTGATAGAGACAGACTGCAATGCAAAAATACATTTATTATTTGACAAAGTGAAAAATGAAAAACAACAATATCAGTTTACGCAACAATATTTAGCGAGTGAAGCTCCGTGTCACACTGTCCAGGATTGACTGGACCAGTTTGTCCCTGGTGGAGCGGGTGAAGCTGACTTCACGGAGCAGTGAGGGCAGAAGTTTGGGGACTTGAGGAACTGCCGTGCCTCGAACTCAATGTCCCTCTTCTTCAAACTGTTGCTCACCTCCCAGACCTGAAACAAGGAATGTGGATGTGAGGAGACGATTGGACGAATTTAAAGAAGAAATCAAGAGTCATGTAACAATTGAAGCCAAACTCCTGAGACGTCTTCTCAGGACTGTGGACTCACCAGATTGAACAGTTTGAGCAGTGG